TCTAGGGCCTTCCACCAAGCCATTTTTGTCTTGGAACCAGCCAACCATGGACTGAACCTGCTGGAACCATGAGCCAAATAAACCCGTCCTCCTTTAAGTTGTGGACATTGAGTATTTTGACCCAGGCATGAGAAGGTGACTAAGACAAAGCCTTTAACACACAGGCCCTGATGGGTGGTGGGAGTGGGGGTGTTATTTCAGATCTAAACAATAGCAGTTGTTATGTGGCCCTTGATTAGAAGTACAAAGATTTGGGCCGGGGATTTAGCTCAGTGGTGCCACACTTGCCTCACAAGCGCAAGGTCCTGAGTTCAATCCCTGGTACCATAAAAAAAAAAGTACAAAGATTTGTAGCAATACAGAAAATGTGTTTGTAAACTAACAGAAGAGGGGCACAGTGGTGCATTCCTGCAACCCCAACAGTTGGGGAGGCTGATGCTAGAGGACAGCAAGTTTGAGTTACACCTGAGAAACTTAGAAAGAGCTTATCTCAAAACAAAACAAAAAAATGGGTCAGGGATGTAGCTCAGAAGTAGAGTCTTGGGCCGGGGATTTAGCCCAGTGGTTCCGTCGCCTGTCTCACAAGCACAAGGAGCCAAGTCCCATCCCCGGTACCAAAAAAAAAAAAAGAAGTAGGGTCTTAAGCCCCGGTACCAAGAAAAAAGAAAAACTACTCTAAGCATATACCTTGATCATATATATATATATATATATATATATATATATATATATATGAATTTGAGAATGACATTTAGAGAGGAATACATGTTTTAAAAATAAAACAGCCTTGTTAGGTATGTAGAATTATGAATACATTTTTCACATAATATTTTTGAATAAAATTTTCAAATAAAATAACAATAACAGTAATGTGAAAGGAAATCAAGGGGGATGGAGGAAAAAGCATTTCCCCCTCTAAGCAATTATGTGTCTGCAGCTCAGAACCATAGCTTTTTTTTTTTTTGGTACCGGGGCTCAAACTCCAGTCCTTATGCTTGCAAGGCAAGTGGCAGAACCACTGAGCTAAATCCCTGGCCCTCAGAACCATAGCTTTTAAAAAAACATTTTATTTTATTTTATCCCATTCCCCCCTCTCTTCCCTATGCACAAAAGCTTTGTTTCTATTTTTTCCTTCTATTCAGAATCATAGCTTTGAGAAGACCTATTTTAAGCACAGATGAGAAAGGTCTTAGACTATATTATAGTTGTCATCTTTGTTATACCCCTTTTCCATAATGAAAGAGGAAAGTTAATTTTAAAATGTGTTGGTAGACTTTCATGCCAACTAATAAAATGTATCACTGATAATAATAGGAATAATTTGTATTTTTTATCAGCATTTATTTTAATTCACTACTTACTGTTTCCCCTAGCAGATGCTTGCATATATTTAATTTTACCTTTTCTAATTTTTTTGGTCTAAATTTTACAATTTCTTGCAGAAACGCTGAATTATATTTTAAAATCTGCATTTGGAGTTATTTGTAGCAATTTTGACATGGTATGAAATGGCATCCACACACAAACACACACATATATAAACTACTACTGTTGCTTTGAAAAGCTTCTGAATAATATTAGACACATCTAATGGTGCCTCTGAAATGTGCCATTCAAATGTTCTTGGACTTTGCAAGTCCACGAGGAAAATGAGAGGAATCACTGTGAACAGAAGTTAAATTCTGTGCCTAAGGTTGCAGAGCCTCCTGTCAGGAATAGAGACTTCCAGTGAAGAGCTCCCCAGAGGGGCATCGTTGGTCCCTGCCTGCTGATACCTCAGCTCAGTGCTCTGGAGGCCCTGGCCTGGTATTTTTTGGACCACTCTCAGGGCCACAGGCAGCAGACTGGAGCACCCCTGAGGGCTCGTCTCACAACTCGGTCAATGTGACCCAAGAGGACCAGGGTAGGAACTGTCTGGAAATCTGTGGAGACCCTCCCATCAAGAGGGGGTTCCAGGGCCAGGGATTTAGCTCAGTGGTGCTGCCACCTGCCTCGAAAGCACAAGGTCCTGAGTTCAATCCCTGGTACAAAAAAAAAAAAAAAAAAAGAAGGGGGTCCAACATCTCCAAATGTGGCCAAGTCTCCTCCATTTGCTTCAGTGTGGAAAATCATGTATATAAATTTGGAGACTGGATCATAACAGGTGACCCCACTGTAACTGGGGCATTCTCGTCTCCTGAGAAGACTCCTTTCGTCCATCTTTTGTTCTCTTCTGACTCTGGGGAAAGGGCCCTCAGATGACTTTCACCCAGCCTTTGGCAGGTAGATCCGTCCCTTCCAGTCCAGCTCCCCATGTGCTGACTCAGTCTCAGTGTCCATGTGGCCCCAGATCTACTCCTAAGGACAGGCTAGCAGGCCCTCCATTGGTCAGGGCAGGCTCCTCCTTTCCTGCTAAGGTTTCATGTTAATGTCTCACCCACTGCTCTGTTTGCTGGTGAGCCTGGTCCCAACATGGTGTTATTGGAAGCAGAGCCTAGTGAGCCTAGTGAAGGCCCTGGACTACTGGGACGTGCCCTTGATGGGGCAGGGGGCCCACCAGCCCCTTCTGTCTCTCTCTGCTTTTTGGCTCATGATGAATGCAGGTCACTCTGATTTGTACTCTCCCCATGACCCTCTGTCCTCACCAGAGGGCCCAAACCACCAGCCACCTGGGTGTGGACTGGAACTTCCAGAACCGTGAGCTAAAATAAACTTTTCTCTTTAAAAGTTACTACCTCAGATATTCCCTTATCAAAATGCAAAGCTGACTGATGCATAAGTGGAACATAGGCCCCTTTGGCCCACTGCAATGACAGAAACATCCTAATCTGTGCAGTCCAACCCGGTAGCCACCAGCTATGCCTACTGTAACTGAGAAACAGGATTTTACATTTTATGTGATATTACTTCACTTAAATGCAAATTCAGGGCTGGGGATTTAGCTCAGTGTTTCCGGTGCCTGCCTTGCAAGTGCAAGGTCCTGAGTTTGATCCCTGGTACAAAAAAAAAAAATGTAAATTCAATATGTACCAGTGGTTGCATCCTCAGTACAGCTTGGGCAATGGTGATCTGGGCTTCTTCAGAGCAGCTTCCACCCTTCCTAGCCCACAATGGGGTGGTACTTCTCTTTCCCCTTCTGCTTTGAGGATTCCTCATCTGTTGTGTTCCCCCCCACCACCACCGTGGGTCCTCATTCTGTGAGGTTTGTTTCTCAGCCCTGCTCCATCCTCTCCTCTAGCTCCTGGAAGAAATCCCTTGCTCCAGATAGCAGCTAAGGTTCAAGTTTTTCTGCCACTTTGGTGTGGACAGGTAAGACTGCCCAGGTTTTCCTGTGAGAGAAGAGAATGAGGTAAATAACCAGAAACAACCCAAACTGTCGGGGTACGTTCCCTGCCACTCCCCACTGCAAGTTCTAGTTTAGGGAGCTGACCATTCTGGCTCCGTTTTGACTGATTACAGATTTAATAATCTGGAACTGTGAGCTCTAGAACAGGTGTGGAGGGTTCTTTCAAAAATGCACACTTTCTGGATCCTTCCATGAAAAGCTAGTGGTCTAGGTGTCAGTATTTCTTGAACATGTCTGGGAACTGCTCTGATCTGCATCCTGAAACACTTGGGAGCTTTTAAATTGGCCCACTCCATTCAGTCCCCTAAACTGCTCCACTTCCATCCACCTTTTGTGGCTTTTTTCTCTTCATATCTGCATTTATTGCCACTTCCAAGTTCCTCCCTCCTTCTTTCCCCGAACTGCTCCCACACACACACACACACACACACACACACACACACACACACACACACACACCAGCTCTTTGGAGTCAGAAAAATGCACCTAGTAATTGTAGGTGAGCCCTGCAGGCAAGCTGAGAGTTCCCCTCACCCCTACAGTGTCCTGAACTATCTGAACTCTGTGATGCACTCATCTTTCCAGGAGCTTGGCCCCTTCATCCTTGCTCTCTAGACAGGCTGCATTTACTTTGGCACGTTTTGCTTGTCTGTGCCAGCAGCTATTTATTAATAATGGAAAATTGCCATAAATCCTCATTTGGCAGTGATTTTCGTATCTGTCCCAGCACCTCTGCCTTAGAACGCCAAGCATAAGCGGTCTAGACATTGCTTTGGAAAGAACTCCTCTGGGACAGGCCTGGAACTCTCTGGCACAAGACGGCCTCTATCTATGGATACTTCTCTTAATAGATTAGAAAGCTTCCTGGCAGACAAGAATTTTGTCCCAGGAGATTTAGCTCTGTGACCAGCATTACGTAAAGGACAAGAAAGCTTGTTGGCTTGCATCCATTTAGTAGAATTCAATATAAAGAGTGGATTCTGAATACAAGCAACTCATTTCTAGCTCTTTTCTTTTTTCTTTTGGCGGTGATGGGGATCGATGTGCAACTCATTTCTAACCAAGGAAGAGACCCACCAGTGAGCTGCAGTTTGGGGGAATTTAGAAACAATCCTGAGTTTATATCTGGGAGGACGATACATTTGCAAACGTCTAAGAGAGGAGATGGAGATGAAAATATCTCTTCTTGCCAGCTGTTGCTCCTTTCGCGGAGTCGGGGGTGGGTTCACGTGGCTGAGGAGACTGCTGTCGCCAGCGGCTAGGATCATCTGCTGGAAGGGCGCGTGGGCGGAGCGCCCATCCCCAGACCGCAGGTCGTCGGGGTCCAGCACGGGTTCCTGAAGCTGCGGATTTTAGGTAATCTTTATTGGAAGCCACGCAACGTTTTCCAATACACACATTAGAGTCCAACAGGAACTCGGACCATGCCACAGGGTCGCGCCCTCCAGAGGTGCTGGTCCTGCCCCTCAAGGCTCCGCCCAGCGGCCTCCCTAAACTGTTGGCGTACCTCTCCCTAGCCCCGCCGCCCAGTCGAGCCGCGAACTACATGTCCCAGAAGGCCCTGCGCCGCGTTCACTCATCCGCCCACTCTACCCCCGCCTTCTGTGGTAGCAATGGACTACAAGTCCCGGCAGGTTCTGCGCCGCGCCTGGGGACCCAGCCCTCGCGCCTGGCCGAGCGCCTGCGCAGCGCGCCCAATCCGCTAGAGGGAGCGGAAGAGTGCTGGGCGCTTAGTGAGCCAGCCCAGCAGTCTGTGGAGGCGGCGGGCGACATGGACAACGCGGGGAAAGAACGAGAGGCGGTGCAGCTGATGGCGGAGGCCGAGAAGCGAGTCAAGTCCTCTCACTCCTTCCTCCGAGGGCTGTTCGGGTGAGCGCCAGTGTGCGTGCCCTGGGGGGGTCCCCGCAGAGTCCCGACACTCCGGACCCCGGAACGCGCCTAGGTACCCGCCGCTCTCCAGAGACCGTTCTGAGCCGCCCCCCCCCCCCCCCCGCCTCGGGCCCTGGGCGTCCTGGAGAGCCGCCTGTACCCCCAGGCCCTCGCGCTCCCGAGTCCCCAGGCCCCGCCCCGCCTGCGCCCCGCGGAAGCCCAGGGTTCCCGCCCCCGCCCCCCGAGCCCCGGCGCGCACCCGAGACCCCCCAGAGCCTCTCGAGTGCCCGGGCGTCCCAGACCCCCGGCATCCCGCGAGGTGCGGGTCTCTATGGGACCCGCCAATAGACCCGCGCTTGGCTTGGGGCCCAGCAGGCGCTCGGCGCGGCCCCTGGGTGGCGAGGTGCGGCTCCTTCTGGCTCGGTTGTTCTTCCTTTGCCTGAGACAGATCTGTAGCCGGGCCTGCTGTCTGGTGAAAGAGAACGCAGTTCTTGCCTTGAGTCGGCAGCGTTGGGGAATCCCGTTAATGTCCTGTAATTCGTCTATGCCGTCCTAGGAAAGGCTTCCTGTTAGCATCTCTGGGGCAGCAGAGCCGCATGGACAGCTTTTGGAGGAAATCTTGGCCGTTGATTGTGTGAATGATTCAGCTGTTTAGGATGAGAGGAGCAGAAATACCGTGTTTTCTTTTTCCTTTGGGAAACGAAAGATCCTCTGCTGTCACACAGCAGATTGTATTTTTTAGAAGGACCAGCGGTACATACTTAGCAAACATGGCATTATTAGTTTTTTCTGTACACAATTCAACTTGGACTCTTAGTTCAGAAAACAGACCCTTCGAACTTTGGCTTGTTTTGCAAACATCATTTCTTCGACTACAAATTATGATGTTTTACCATTACTGATAAACCTCCAGGAAATGCTTGCAGGCCAATTTCATGCAGTGCATGGTAGCGTGGCTGCTAAGATGCACTAAGAGGAGGGTCCTTGTCCTCAAGGACCTCTCAGAGGACGTTTATCACAGCTAGTTCCTAAATTTCTCATGTGATATGTAATTGGAAGATACAGCTAGTTATAATGAGTACTGCCTAGTAGCTGCTGATGCCAGACAGTAACTCCTGTATTTCACAAAACATTTAAAATTCATTCAGATGAAATTGAATGTCATAGCATCTCACACTGGGAGCGATTTTACTGTCATACCTTTTTCAATCAGGATGTGCTTCCCTGGGGGAAGCATTCACCACTGGCAGAGGAAAAAGCAGACAGCACTGAGTGCCCCTCTCGAGGGACACTTCCTTTGGCCAAGAGGTGTTTGTTGTTTTTAGGGAACTAGGTCAGATCTTGAGCCAGTAGTCCTAAAAGGATTTTGAAGAACCTTCTTGCTTTTAAAGAAACATCACTGATTGTCACTGACCTGTCATTGACAGGCCGTGTAGGAAGACTTTCTTCACTAAGGTTGTGCAGAAGGCACTGCATCTAAGTGACTTATCGCTGGGACTGAATGCCCAACACCCATGACTTAAAGAGGAGAGGTTTATTTTGGCTGGAGTTGGCTGGCTCCAAGGCAGAAGTAGGATGGAAGAGGAACTTGTTGGAAGGGCCTGGGAGCCAGACAGCTGCTCATCCCCGGGCAGCCACAGAGCAGAGAGAACAGGGAGGAGCCAGGAACAAGAACACACTACCCAGGTCATGCCCCAGCAGCTCAACTTCAGCCAGGCCCCACCTCCTAACAGCAAGTCAGCCATAGTGTCCCCAAGGTCCATTCATCTTCCAAAAGCCCCACCTCAGAACACGTGAGACTTTTGGGGGAGAGTCTAGATCTGAACCCTAACAGCATCCTAGGTGTAACAGGTTAGTTTATGATCCCAGGTTTGGGACCAGGGACAGGTTAACTTTGCTTTTCTTTGCCTCGGTCTCCTTTGCTACCAAGATAGTAATTGTGCTTTTTTTTTTTTGCATAGGGGATCGAACTTGGGGCTTTGCACTTGCGAGGCAGGTGCTGGAACCACTGAGCTAAATCCCTGGCCATTGCATTTTTTTTTTTTTTTGGTACCGGGGATCGAACTTGGGTCCTTGCACTTTTGAGGCAGGCGGCGGAACCACTGAGCTAAATCCCTGGCCCATGCATTTTATAATTTGTGAGAACAGGCTCGGAGGCACACACTTCCAGTCCCAGCACTTGGGAGGCTGAGGCAGGAGGATCACCGTGAGTTCCAGGCCAGCCTGGGCTACATAGTGAGTCCAAGGCTACCTTGAACTACATAACAAGAGCCTGTCTCTAAAAACATAAACAGAAATACCTTGTGAGTGTTGAGTGAGTTTATGTAAATCATTCAGAACTATGAGTGTTGGCAATGATGATTATGAGATAATTCTCATAGTCATTAAAATTGTCAGTTGCTTGTCAAGGAACTAGGGGGCCAGATGGATTAAATGACTTTTCCAGGATCTCCAGAGTGAGAGACTTGACTGGTATTTTAATGCAATAAATACCACAGAGAGTGTTTAGCAGTTAAAGAACCATGGAAGCATTACTTACAATGTTAGAGCTGTTTTCTTTTCTGCAATACTTGGCTCCTGGAAAGCTTGGGGAAGGAAGAGTAATTGGAGTTCTGAGTCTTAATAATATTACATTATTACTTGCAGCGCAAAACCAGATCTAGTTCCTCTGTGAAGCTAAAATTTTGTATAAATTTTGGGCCATTAGAATCCTGTGTTATGTATGACATCAAATGCATTTGTCATCATCTTTCTAGACTGGAATATGTGTTACTTGGCCCTCCCTGCCCTGCTTCCTGTTGTCCTTTATTTAAAGTAGTGCAGTGTGTCTCCATGTCCGGCTCCTGAATGAACAAAACACACATACTGACCTGAGTGTATTGGAGCTTGCATACTTAAGGGCTGATTATCTCAAACTTTTAAGGGCATATGTCATGTTTTGAGGATGTGGCAGCTGTTAGAAGATGCTTGATGTATTGCAGATGTTTCTTGCCACAGATGTTCTTAATATCCTAACTAGATTAAAGCCAGGTGTGAGTGCACCTGTCCCTCCCTTAGTATGTGCCCCACCCACACTGGTTTGGCACAGTACTGTATTATTAGACTGTTCGTAGCTCTCCTTGTTTTGTTGCTGTCAGTAAAGTAGATGAAAATATGTGTGAGTATTCGCAAGAACGAGCCAGGCAGATATTGTATGTGAGGCACAGATTCTGTACCTTGTCTGCTAGGTAGGCACAATGTCTTCGGTCCTTCCCATAAGACCTGCCTGTTCCCTCACTCCTAGGCATCAGAGCCTTGTGACTGGAGTGCTGTTCTGCCTGATGACCAGTTAATTAAATAATGATGTATTTTTGTAGATGTGGAAACAAATTAAACCTTTGCTTTCTGAAGGGCATAGTGTAGTATAGTAAAAGTACTGCCAAAAGAGTTGTGTTCTTGTTTAGTTTGTCGAAGAGATGAATTTCATAATTTCATATTCTGATTTAGTCTTTATCAACTGCTAGTGTGATCTTAAACTGGCCTGAGTGTCGGGGTTTTGAGTTGTAGAGACCTGACCACCGTCTCCACCTTGTTGCTGGGAGACCAGATTGAGGATAGCCTGCACAGGGCACTTCTGGCATGGTGGTGCATAGGAATGACAGGAAGGATGTTCCTGTTGGCCGGTGCTGGTTTTTCATCACTCATCAGTGTCAGAGTTTATGAAAGAGAGAGCAATTGGCACTGTCAGGTTGGGTGTGATGGGGCATGCCTGTGATCCCAGCACTGGAGGCTGAGGCAGGAGTGCCATGAGTTTGAGGCCAGCCTGGGTTACATAGTGAGCTTAAGGTTAGACTGAACTACATAACAAGACCCTGTCTCAAAAATAATAATAATAATAATTATTATTATTATTATTATTATTTGACAGTATCAGTATAAATTTAATGGAGGGTCCTATTGAGTTTCTTGAAGTAATGATGAATCTGTAATTTACTAGCTATTTGTAAAAATGGGGAATATTTCTTAAGCATCGTAGACCATTAATTACCAGTACTTTTTGCTTGGCTTTACTTCAGTGAAGATTGTGTCTCTTAAGTTTTTCCAGCATATGATGGGATTGTTGTTTTTATAAAGCATTTAGGTCTTAATTATAGTGGATTTCCATCTTCCTTCCTTCCTTCCTTCCTTCCTTCCTTCCTTCCTTTCCTCAGTACTAGTGATTGAACTCAGGACCTTCACACTTGACTACATTCTTTTTATTTTTTATTTTTATTTTTTACTTTGAGACAGTCTTGCTGAGTTGTTGCCCTTATGGGACTTGAACTTGCAATTCTCTCACCTCAGCATCTCTCAGTGCTGGGATTACAGGTGTGTGCCACTGTACCTGACCACAGTATATAGATTGAATTTTTAAAAAATCATTAGGCTCAGATTTACTTACAGAGACAAGTAGCATAATGTAAGAAATATTTATGTGTGATAGCCGGGCATGGTGGCACACACCTGTAATCCCAGCACTTTGGAGGACTTGACAGGAGGATCACCATGAGTTTGTGGCCAGCCTGGGCTCCATAGTGACATCTTGTTTCAAAAAAAAAGTATGTGTGTGTGTATTACATATAATTCTTATTAGAACTAGGATAATCTATACTGGATAAAATAATATCTGTCATTATATATGAGAAGACAAAGCACAGACTAGTTCTCTCATGTACTGTTCTGGGACCATTGCCAGGTAAGTCATCCTTAGAACTTTTCCCTTTCTTAGGCTTTCAGAGGATAGAGTCTGCTTTTCAGAGTTGTTAGGATTAAATGAGGTGTTAGGATGCTTATGCAGCAGCACAAATATACATTATTGTTAGTTTTCTAATTTTACATCAGGTTACAGTTTGGGTGACCTATGCAGCATGGCTCTTTCTCTCTGCTGGAGAGCAGCTCAGAGGAGGCAGGGAGCGCTCAGGGTGGCTGTGGCCTAGTGCCTCACCCTGCTGGTGACCCTCACTAGACGCCTGGTGGGTCTT